AATTAATATAGATCAGAGGGATTAATTAGGATTTCTGCTAGTATCAAAAAACGGAACTGTGGAAGTTTCTTTAATTCACCCGTGGTGCACCATGCACCAAACACTCCAATTGCCGAACCTTGTACAGTATCTGATGAACCATAAAGCACTGACGGTGTACGCCGACAAGAGTGATGCATGGTTTGAAAGAATTAATACAACTGACTACCGTATTTTGAAAACTGTTCCTAACATGTTTTATTTTTTTTCAAAAAACAGGGTCTAAAGAAAATACACAAATAATTTTAAAAGATTATTAGCTTTCTGGATCCATAGGGTTCCCCACACCCTCTATTTGAATCACTGAATATCTTGAAAATAATGTCATTACAGTGAGCAGCGGATGTCGAGCGATAACTCAAGGATAATGAGTTACGAGTCGTCGGATCATGAAACGATAGCCGATCTTGCTGCTTGTATGTATACCCAACTGTGCTAATTCCCCGAGTCCAACCAAGTTAGTTGAGAGACATTCTTAGTGTATGCTTTCTTTTCTTTCTTTTCTATTGTTGATTCTATTGTATTTACGTAGACGATGCCGACAGGTGAATGAGGCAAAAGTCGTTGCACATGACGGGTGTTGAAATTTTTGGACCCGTGGTGATTGTGCTCCATAATGCTAGGCGCACCCGACGTGGCAAAAAATTGTAATGATATGATTGGTGTGTACTCAACAAAGCTCTTGTTTGCCTAATTAACCTAGGAAAACGAAGCCTTAAGCGCATTGGTGAATGGAGAAGGCAGGTGGCGAGTGCATGCATGTGGTTTTAATGTTTCGTCACGGCTATTTCTTCATCATGCCGAAGTTCCCGAGTCAGTGAGGTTTGTTAAAGCTTCTGGTGGAGGTTGTGTTGATCATGAAGTTGTGCAAAGTCTACCGACTCTATGCTAGCCTCAACTAGTTATGAACTTCAAATCATGATGAAGTTGGCGCTCCACCCTGTGCGCAAGCACAAGGACTCTTTGTGCTTCTGGTTAGCTCGTGTGGCCAGCTTTTTGGAGGGGGTGAAGGCATCTGATTGTGTCCAAGGGTCGATGCCGACGGCACAGGTGACGCTTGTGGAAAATCATGGAGACCAAGGTGTTGAGGACATTGATGGCACTAAGTGGCTGCTCACTTTGGAGTTAGATGCTCTAGTGGTGGCCACTGTGTTCGGCCTAGCTAATTCTACCTCTGCTGAAATACATGCTATTGTAAATGGGTGTGCTTTTGTGACAGAGGACGATGACACTTTGCATGACTTCACTGAGTTGAGTTGCTCAAAGGCCTTGTTGTCATTCCTCCGGTCACCGAGCGATTGAATCACTTTGTCAAGGAAAAGAAGATCAAGAATGTCAACCGGTTGGTAATTGCTGCAATGAGGGACAACCATGCAAGATGTTAGTCACCACTGTGTGTTTCTTTCTTCGTTGTTCTTTATTTTTAGAGTAGTTCGCATGAGGTTTCGTGAGTTGACTTGTTAGTAGGTGCCATCCGCGGTGTCCTCGTCGTTGCTTGAGTTTGGTGTGGGCTTGGTCGTGATTGTATTAGTTTTAATCCAATTTTCCAGCAATCAACTGGGCAACAATCTTCTTCTTGATCAATGAAAAAGGCTAGGCTTTTTCTAAAAGGGTGGTCTTTTTCTTTAGAACACAGTACAATCGAAATCGCTCACATGCACGAGCATACACCCCCCTCTATGAACGCACACACGCATATCCTGTCCCTAGGAGCACCTTCAAGAGACTAATGGGGCATAGAATCTTAAGATTGACAAAATCACCACAGGCACCTCGTAGTCGATGGAACGTCTCCTCCCACTGATCGAACATCATCGGAAAGTTTGAAATAAATCCAGAAAAATGTGAGCACCAATGTCAACTCTAGGACTTGAACTCTGGTGGGTTGGGGATACGGCTGTCTTCCTAACCATCTAACTATAGGTTGGTTCGCAGTGCACTATTTTTTTCACAATCACGATGGAGATTCAAGCCTTTTGGGCTCCCTTTTTTTTAGTGCAAAAGATATTACTTCCTTCATTTCGAAATAAGTGTTCGGGTTTTAGTTTTTCGAAAATAAATGCCATGTTTTTAGTTTAAATTTAAACTAAAACCACATCACTTATTTTGAAACAATGGAAGTATAACTTTTACGTTGGTCAGAGGTCAGTGGCGTGCGGAGTGTGGCAAGACGAGAATTGATTACTGGATATACTATAAAACTTCAAATACGACGAGCAAAACGCATATGTACAAAATAGCTGGAGCAACTTTCCGTGCATGCATGCGTCACGTAATCTGGTTTGGATCGACAGGATGCGGCTGGTTTGGAGTACTAAACTATTGCTACCAGCTACTTCAGTTGACAAATACTCCATCCATCTCAAAATAAATGTCTTATGCAGCTTTATGCTAAAGTTGATATAAAGTTAAGACATTAATATTTTGAAAAAGAAAGTAATTGTCGCATACCGGCCGTCGACAGTCTACGCCACCGCGTATGCACCCACAGGAATTCCCCGAAACTAGTGACCCGAGTCCCAGCTATACGGTCCATGCGTGCAAGCGGATTAAGAAATATATTTTCATAATATGAAATCAATATTATCAGATGCATCATGAAACATATTTTCATAGTATATAGTTTTAGTATTGTAGATGTTCATATTTTTTATATATATTTGATCAAACTATGTGTAGTTTGACTTTGATCAAATCTTATATGCGGAGTAAAAAGAAACGGAGGGAATATATTAAATGTCTTAGCAACTCAAGTCTCCAATGCAAAGGTGTTAGCTTTTGGGTGCTAAGCCTCATGCATTTAATTAGTTGTAGACTCAAAATTGTATTTTCACCTAGGCACACGTGCTTAGCACCATTTCTTTCTGAGGTCACCATACCACTCTTTCTTCTTAACTAGCATGCCATATCATATTTTTTGCTTAGTTAGCGATCTTAGCACCTGTATAAGCTGAAGCATTGGGAGGGGCCTATTGACCACACTAAGTTGCTTAGCTGATGGCATACTTTTTAGATAAGGTTGGTCACAATAATACTTAACCCTTTCTTTTCTCATTTAATTATGTGTCACCTCAGCTCAAATGCCTACTAGGTGGCATGGATGATACTTCTTTTATTTGAAAAGGTTTGTTTCTCAAATGGATGTATCTAGTATCAAGTTAATGCTAAATACATCCATTTAAAATATGAGTTTGTGATAACCTTTTTCGGACGAAGAGAGTACTACCTATGATACTCTCATTGTGACGACAAACATTCTAGTATACAATAAAATTACATCACAAAAGGAAAAACTACAGAAATTTTTTGTTTCTCCATTAGTGCACCCAAACACTTCTATCACCGAATCTCATGTTTTCGATTCCCTTAGGATCCCATATGTCAGTATCTACCTATTTTAAGTAAATTGCTGAAAACCATCACATTTGTGGCTAAGGTACTCTAAAACCATTACTTTTGTTGAAAATAACAAATCACGGCTGCTTCTGCGGCAAGTGAGTAACAGATCGTACTAATTCGGAACTGAGCAGCGATTAATCAGGAAACTAACAGAGCTGGCCCACCTGTCAGGCTGACTTGGCATGCATATGTGGACCGTATGTAGACGTGGAGCGGGCCCCACCTGTCATACTCCTATCTTTGCCCTTTTATGTTATTATGATTTTATTTCTCGCATGAATCCACGCCGTGCTGGTTGCGCTTGCGACCGAGCCACGCCACCAGGCTCGGCCACGACCAGTTTTGCTATTTAACGTGGCTTAGTTTCGTATTAGTGTGTTTTGTTATCCACTTTGCGCAGAAGTGGTGTTTTTTGTGGTTTTTGACAAGAATAATGGTTTTGAAGTACCATAGCCAGAAATGTGATGGTTCTGAGCAATTTACTCATTTTGAGGGGTGAGCGACCGTGCTACTTACTCGAGCAGAGAACCAAATTGCACATGCATGCATCAAACCAATCGTTTGGCAACGAAATACTCTGGATGCCATCAACACACAAAGTGCCATCCCGACCCGAGCAACGGACAAGTTAGGCAGCAGGACCTAAGATTAATTAGTGGATGCCATCTTGGTTTTCCACACTACCATAGTGGGTAGTAGTGCTAGAAAGAGCATGGCAAAGAAAGCACATTAACAGCAGCAAGAGGAGATGCCCAAAGAAACAACATGCCAAAGAAAGGAAGGTAGTCTAGCCAGACTAGTTATCCTTTGCAGCAAGCCAAGCAAACAGAGACACACGACACCCTAGATCTTTGCTTGTTTCGTGCTGAATCAAAGAGCACGCAAACCGAGTGATCCAGTTGACCACGGGCGCCTTTCTACTAGTTGGCACTCCGTTTCAAAGGGAAATCCCAGTGCTATACTATACTAGCACCATGCCAACCAAAGTGCAACCAAACACTTGTGTTTCCACCAGTCTTTTTCTATGTATGCAAAGGCCAAAGGGTAGGTAACTAGTATTTTGGTTGGTTGTCTGGCAAAGCGTCCCACAAAGAGACCATTTCTGTTCCTTGCGCCGTCCGGCTAGAAACAGCGCTCTGGGTGACAAAACAACCAAAAAACTGAAACCAAGCTCAGAAAGAAAGAAACAATGATGATGAAACAAATGTGACTGGGATTTCACCAGCGCTCTGGGTTGATTGGGTACATGGTCACCATCAAAAAACGCCTGCCTGTGCAACAGGGAAACACGAAAGAGTGACCATGCATGCCCACGCACACCAGACCGACCAGAAAATCGCGACTCAAGACAACAACAAGATAACTGACGGACCACGGGAGATAGTTTCAACCCCCATCAATAAGGGTAAAGAGAAAGAGGTTCTAGCCTGGTGAGAGCTAGGTTGGACTGACACTGACAACTGACTCACTGACTGCCTGCCTTTCGCAGGTTACAACTGTTATCTACACAAAGAAGCTAGACGGACGGAGCGCCGCCCTTCAGATGATGGTGATGCAGGTTCCTAGACGACAAAGCACCGCGGCATCGTTACGCCCTTCATCTGGAAGTTGTTTGGGATTTCCTTGAGCCACGAGTACCGCCCGTCGACCACACCTGAAACCAGAGGACGTTTTCGTCAAGCGTCCAGATGATATTCTTGGCAAACAGGATTCAAGGCTGGGAAGAGAACACTACTCACCGGCTGCGTTTGCAAACGGGGACTCGCTGTAGTAGGCGCAGTCCCTACCAGCAAGGTGGTTGTAAGGGGGTCCCATCACGTCCAGAACAGCGCAAGGGGTGAGCGCCGTGAAGCAGTGCAGGTTGCCTCCGTTTTCAGGGTACAGAACTATGGTCTCGGCTGAAGCGTCAACAACGGCGTTTGTGTTTATCTTTGCCAAACGAGCCCCTGCGGTGGTCACGACAAGAAAATGAATTGTCAGCAACAGGAGCGTTCATCGTAAATAAAGAAAAGAAGGGAATAGAGGGACAGGGAATGACACTACTAGTATTAACTTACCATCTGAGGTGATGAGCGCGTTGTTAGGGCCAGCCTCTGAGTTAGCTCTAGCCCAGTCATACGACTTGAGGTGCATGGAGCCGAAGAGCATCTTGCTGAAGACGGTCATCCCGGGATGGTTGTGCAGAGGAATCACAGCATGCTTGGGTAAACAGAAGATACCAAACTGCACGGAGCACACAAAAGCGTTCAGCAACAGTCATAGAAATGAATGCACAGGAAACGTATGTAGAAGGTGAGCTTACCGAGAACTTGGGGCAGTCATAGAAATGCAGATAGGTGACTGAAGCAGGCACCCTGGAGTCGTTGCGCTTGAAGCACGTCATGCTTGTGTCTATGCCAACATCTTGCAGCTTCAGATCATCTGAAACCAACCAACCAACCAACAGTGCACTGATCAGATAAGATGTACCTCATCATATTTGATTGACATGACATAAGGATATACATATAATGCAGGAGCATGACTTGAGGAATTGCTTTTAAAACACGTGGCTGGAGGTAGAAACATCTATCAGATTCAAAATTAACAAGAACAACAGAAGAACACGAATATCAGATTCAGTTGATGATGCATCACAGATAGCAAAAAAAGGCAATGATGAACCGAAGCTAATGGTATGGGCCAGGTAAGGTAGCAGCAATGCTTGTGCATAACTCGGCGAGCAACAGAGTGACACAAACTCATCGTCAGATAATATGAATACTGTAAACCCCAAACTGACTCGAACACTAGTAATGCGATGTTTTGAACCAAGCTCTATGCAGAGTAATGCAAACTTATGGGACAGATGAGTAAGACACAAAATGGCAAGCACAGTTGCACTGACAGTGGTGGCTACTGTCAGGTTCAGCAGGACACACTTAGACACACTTATTATTAATGCTGGTAGAACAGAGCAGTGGTGGTGCAGCAATGGCGTGGCGTGGCACGGGCGGGCAGGCAGGCAAGCAGACATGCCGGCGCGTGCATGGCAAAAAAGAAATGCCAGGGGCCTCGACCTCGTGGCATGCCAGAAATGGGGCATGCACAAGTCACGGGTGGATGGGAGCCGCGACGTGGACAAGTCATGCGTGCAGACTGACCCTGTAATAGTCTAATCATCATTCTCCTGCGACCGCATCCTCCTAAATCCTAAGCACGGGAGACACGGATTGATGGGCGGCCATGCCATGCGCGATCCATCCGGCCGGAGCGAATTTACCTGGGACTCGAATCGAGTCGGACGCAGAATCAAACCAAACTCTGGACGGCAAACCTACCTACCACCTAGGACCCGACCGACGGCAATTGGAGTTGGAGGGGAGGGGAGGGGGCGCTTACTGAGGATGGCGGAGAGGCGGAGGACGGCGTCGGGCGGCGGCACGAAGCCGGGGGCGGAGGCGGCGAAGACCTCGCGGCTGGTGTCGAAGAGGCGCTGCATCGGCGTGGGCGGCGCCGGGGCCGGGGCCGGGGCG